TTCTGAGCTGGCCTGGGGTGCCCCATACCCCTCACCTGTGAGCACAGAGGGAGATTCAGGACTCGAGTCTCAGTCAAGACTCCTGCCCAGGAGGCCTTGTCCGCCACAGAGCCTCGTGGCAGGTGAGTGTGGGGCACAGCAGGGACTCACCGGCGTAGCTGGAGGCCTCGGCAATGTTCTGGGAGCCCGTGATGTGGTGCCAGTAGGCACTGCGGGGCAGCATGGTAGTGGGCGTGCAGGGGTACGAGTAATGCTCCGTGCCCTTGTTCAGCAGCTGTGAGGCAGAGAAGGGCATCTCTCCCATTAGCCCTGGGGGCAGTGGCTTATGCCCAAGTGGCCAGCCCAAGACCCTGCCTGCCTCTGCTGCGTGCACACTAAGTGGAGACACCTGGCACAGTCCAGGCACTCGGCCTGCCCACCCACAGCCTCCCCTGTCCCCGGGGCTGAGCCGCCCCCGCCTCACCCTCACATTCTTCTCCATTTCTAGCAGGACCCGCCTGTGCTGCTCGGCGATGGCCAGGGTGGCACTGTGGACCCGCTGGTAAATCTGTTCCCCTTCCTGCGTCTGGAAGGTGTAGAGCCCTTCCCCGGCGTCACACATCCTGGGAACACAAGTGGCGTGGAGGGCAAGGGGCTGGGGACCCCACCACATCCATACACGTGCTTGCTTGCAGGGCCTCTGGGGAACAGGCGGGACCGTTGCCCGGGGGTCTCGCCACACAGCTCGAAGGCGCTGAGCATTTTCTACACGCCAGGTGGAGAGCTAAATGCTTTACAAGAATCGACCCATTCACTTTTCTCCACTACCCTCTGGTCCGTGCACTAGTACCGTTTCCTCATTATTAGTTTTCACAAACCACTTTACAGGTGAGGAAACTGACATACAGAAGGTGCGTAACTGCACCGAGGTCATGCAGAGGATTATACAGAATTCAGGTCCAGGTGAGCGGGCTCCAGTGTTCACGCTATGGTTGATTCAACGTTCACCATAGCTCCATGGGGTTAGGTACCTTTCTTATCCCCTATGTAACAGATGAAGAAACAGCCTCAGGCCCACAATCCTAGAGCCAGTAAGTGCCAGTGCCAGCACCTGATTTGAACCCAAGCAGTTTGACTTTTGTTAACAGCTTCACTTGACCTGCCTTCCGTGAGCCTCAATTTGTTCATCTATAAAGTGAGAACATCACATTCCCTTTCTGATTGCTATGCTGATAAGCTCCAAGCACAATGGCCAACACAGAGTGGATGGCAGCCACCATCACAACCATGGTGGGACAGGGTTGGGGGGTGAGAGGGTCCTACCGGCCAGCCTCGAAGGTAAAGCGTGTGGCATCCCGGCCGTAACGGCGCAGTGAGCAGAGGGGCCACGAGACGAGCTTCACGCGGGGGTTGTGTATGTCCCAGAGGTAGATGTTCTCGTGGGTGATCTGCAGCTTGCACTCTCCATACACATCCAAGTTGGGGCAGGGCAGCAGGAAGACATTGAAACGATCTGAGTGGGAGAGGATGAGTGGGCCTGGAGCTTCCCATGGGGAGGCCTCCTGCCCCTTCCCGCCGCCCCCCCACCTACCCCTACTGCCAGCCCAAGCCTCACCTGTCTGCTCACACTGCACCCCTGGGGCCAGGAGGTCCGGCTCTCCCAGACTGATGTCGTTGAGCCGTGACCCCAGACACTCCACAGACAGTGTCTTGTACCACTCCTCCGCCTCCAGCTCTGGAGAAAATGGCACTTCATCATGCTGCCAACTCGGTCCGCCAACAGCCCACCCCATTCACTTCAGCCTGAGTTATCCCACCATGCAAGGCAGGGAGGGCAAGGCCAGTAGATTCTGCCTGCCTGCCCGACCTCATCCTGGGGACCTGCTCCCATGAAGGCACCTCCCCCAACTCTCATCCCCAACCGTCATGCCAGTCAGGCCTAGCCCTGCTCTGCCTCCTCCTGACCGGACTGCTGGACCACAACTGGCCCAGCGGAGGCTGGACAGAGGTCTGCAGCCCCAGCGCCTCACCTGAGTCGCAGGTGAAGGTACGGGCTGAGTCATCAGTGAATATGATGGCTACCGCCTGCCTCTTGGTCTCCTTGGGGAGCCTCGTGACACACTTGACATTGCTGATCTCGGTCACCTAGGACAGCATCCACAAGGGAGTCAGGTTGGAACACTCCCCTCTGTATCCCCTACAGTTCTGCCGCCCCTCGGAGGGTGCTCCTGAACCTCAGGACTCATCATCATTGCGTTAGGTTAGGGGAGCTGGGGCCCAGGCCCCCTAACCTTGGGGCAGCCTCGGAGGCACACTGACTTCTCATCCGGATACTTCTCCAGCCGCTGGGGCCCCTTGCTGGAGGATTTCCGGAACACCAGCCAGCACCTGCGGTAGATCTGTGGGGCAAGATGACAAGGGTTTCAGGCTTCCCTGGACCACTCCCACCTAACATGGCCATGTAATTACCCCTGCCTACCACAGGGGGCAGTGCCACACAGCCTTCCTGGGATCCCAGCTCAGGAGGAAACCTGGGGACAGCTGACACCAGCATGACTCCTCCATGGAGTAGACGTCCCCTCCCCAAATTGAAAGGGCAGTCGTTTCTTAGCTGGCTCGTGAAAAGGTGTTCCACAAAGGGCACACTTCTGAGTCACCCTCAGTTCTGAGTGCACAGCTGACCCTTGAACAAACTGGTTTGAACCACGTGGGTCCACTTACATGTGGATTTTTTTCAAGAAATATACAGTTGACCTTCTGTATCCCTGAGTTCTGCAGGATTTTTGATCTGTGGCTGGGAATCTGAGGATGTGTATGGCTGACTGCATGCATTGCTCTATGCCACTTTTAATAAAGGACTTGAGCATCGTGGATTTTATTGTCTGCGGGGATGCTGGATCCAATCTCCCGTGGATACCGAGGGACAACTGGGGAGTCAAAAACTATACACAGATTTTCTACTATGCAGGGGACCAGGAGTTGGCGCCCCTAACCTCCACATCGTTCAGGGGTCAGCTGTGATATAAGTAACCAACATTTATTGAGTGTTGCTTATTTGCACTTTTTGTTATTAGCACTCAGGGTCACTCTTGAGGCCGGTTCTATTATTTCTCCTTTATAGATAAGGAAACGGAGGCACCAAAAAGCAACAGCTAATAAACGACAGAGCTAGTATCTCCACCACAACAGAGGGAGTGTTCTAGGAACAGGGGTTAGACCCTCGCCCACCCCCAGCCTGCACATCACCACGGCCCTTGTTCTCAGAGCTAGGGGAGGGCTTGATGTAGGCAACACCCCTTCTTGTCTCCAGGAGCTTTCATTTACCCACTCATTTTATTCTCTAACCAACCCTGGGCTTCTGGGAGGGGGCAGAGTTAGTTCTCTGTTCCAGTCGGGAAATCAGAGGCTCTCAGAGGTAAAGGGGCAGAGCCAAGAACTTGGGGTGACCCCAGAGCACAGTGCCTTCCTCGGCAAAGTTCTCTCCTTGCCAACTATTGCCAATGACTTTGTGACTAAAATTCTCTACAGCTTCTTGGACTCTTCCTAAGGGTCAAGGAGCCAGGACGGAGGGAGCAGACCATCCTCCAGGGCTACAGGGGCAA